AAAAAAAAAAATGAAATAGTGCATAATAAAAACGAGCTACTGGGACCATACAAAAAAAATTTACTGCTGCCATAAATAATCCAGGAAGTCAAATTATGAAAACAAAATCAAAAAAACCTTCTTATCATCAAAACATGGCTTACAGCCATATGTAACAGTGTCTTAAAAAGCTGCAGTTTTACAACTTAGAGAAATCCGTCATCTAATGTGTTACTCAAAATCGGATATATACAAAGTTTTCTCAGTAGATTTGATGGAGAGTTTCTCTGTTTGCATTAAAAAAAAAAAGTTGTTTTTTTTTTTTTTTTTAAGTGGAAGTTCTGATGTTGCATATTAAATGCAATTACTTAGTGGGCTATTCAAAGTGATGGTTAACTTGGTGGTTAAAAAGACAATTAGTGGGCTGGGCATGGTGGTGCATGCCTGTAATCCCAGCACTTTGGGAGGCTGCACGGCAGGCAGATCACGTCAGGAGATTGAAACCATCCTGGCCAACATGGTGAAAACCTGTCACTACTAAAATAAAAAAATTAGCCGGGCATGGTGGCATGTGCCTATAGTCCCAGCTACTCCAGAGGCTGAGGCAGGGGAATCACTTGAATTTAGGAGGTGGAGGTTGCAGTGAGTCGAGATTGAGCCACTGCACTCCAGCCTGGAGACAGAGCAAGACTGCGTCTCAAAAAAAAAAAAAAAGACAATTAGTGAACTAGTCGTTGAGGGCTGTATGTGTGAAGAGGGGTGGGATGCCATCAGAATGGGGTACATTTTCCCCAAATTACAATCCCATCCCACTGTAAGTCACCTATTGTTGATTTTAGTTCTGACTCCTGAGGTGTAGTATCTAGTGAAACAAACTAACAGAGCAATTAATTAGGATTTGGAAGCAAAGGTCCCCAGACTGATTTTTAGGCCAGCATCACATGGCACTCTTTGAATTAATTTCTCACAGATACTCACCCAGATGGAAGAAGGTGATCACTAATTTCCAACCAAGGTGGGTGGTATCAGGAACACAAATGTCTCTAGCCACAGATATCATAGGGTGTATGAATGCAGGACAAGCTCTTAGTTTGAAATTACTTAATCAAAACAAACTACTATACAGTCAAATCTTAGAGGGGGATGTAAGCAGAGATTTTGTAAAAAGAGTATATGTGTTGAGTTCTTTCACCCTTGCTAAACTAAGAAACACATGCTTAAAATCAAATAGTAGTAAAGAAAGTACAACTATGGGCCCAGTTGGGCCACGAAAGTCTAATCATAGCCCCCTGCACACATTCTGCATGCAACTTAGTAAGAAATCAACTCTATCCTGTGAAAACTAAAAACCAGTCATCTCTACTACATACCTACCAGAATGGTTAAAAGAAAAAAAAAACTGACATCAAATGCTGATGACAATGAGGAGAAACTGCACTCAAACATTGCTAGTGAGAACTTAAAGTGGTATAGCCACTTTGGAAAAGTTTGGCAATTTCTTACAAAATTAGGCTGGGCTCATGCCTGTAATCCCAGCACTTTGGGAGGCCAAGGTGGGCGGATGACTTGAGGTCAGGAGTTCAAGACCAGCCTGGCCAACATGATGAAACCCCATCTCTACTAAAAATACGAAAGTTAGCAGGGCATGGTGGCCTGTGCCTATAGTCCCAGATACTCAGGAGGCTGAGGTAGGAGAATCGCTTGAGACCAGGAGGCAGAGACCACAGTGAGCCAAGATTGCACCACTGGACTCTAGCCTGGGCAACAGAGCATAACCCTCAAAAAAAAAAAATTAAACATGCACTTACCATATGACTCAGCAATTGCACTCCTGGGCACTTATCCTAGAGAAACAAACACAAGTTAACACAAAAGAGTGTACACTCATGTTCATAGCTGCTGTGTTGATAATAGTTAAAAACTAGAACCAACTCAAATGTCCTTCAATGAGTGAACAGTTGAATATACTTGTATTAGTCCATTTTAACGCTGCTGATAAGGACATACCCGAAAGTGAGAAGAAAAAGAGGTTTAATGGACTTACAGTTCCACAGGGCTGGGGAGGCCTCACAATCATGGCAGAAGGCAAGGAGAATCAAGTCACATCTTACATGGATGGCAGCAAGCAAAGAAAGAACTTGTGCAGGGAAACTCCCATTTTTAAAACCATCAGATCTTGTGAGACTCATTCACTATGCGGAGAACAGCACAGGAAGGACCTGCTCCTATAATTCAATCACCTCCCACCTGGTTCCCTCGACATGTGGGAACTGTGGAAGTTACAATTCAAGATGAGATTTGGGTGGGGACAGCCAAACCATATCAATACGGTAGTTCACCTACATTATGGAATGTCACTCAGTAATAAAAAGGAAGGGACTACTGATACATGTAACAATTTGGATGTATCTCAAGGGATTATGCTGAATGCAAAGAGTCAATCCCAAAAAGTTACGTGCTGTATAATTACAATAACTACATTTATGTAACATTCTTGGTATAACAAAATTTTAGAAACGGAGAAAAGATTGGGTGGGGCTGCAAAGGGAAGTTGTGGTTACAAAAGGGCAACTGGAGGGACCCTTGTGGTGATGGACCTGTGCTGTACCTTGACTGTGGTGGTGGATACAAGAATCTACACACCTGATAATCATATAGAACTAAATACACACAGAAAAATAACAGAAATACAAAACGGGGAATCTGAGACCGATGGATTGTATCAATGTCAATTACCTGGTTGTGATATTGTACTAGTTTTGCAAGATACTACCACTGGGGAGACTGGGTGAAGGGTACACAGAATCTCTATTCCTTTTTTTTTTTTTTTTTTTTTTTTTTTTTTTTTTGAGACGGAGTCTCACTCTTGTTGCCCAGGCACTGCAACCTCCGCTTCCTGGATTCAAGCCATTCTCCTGCCCTAGCCTCCTGAGTAGCTGGGATTACAGGCATGTGCCACCACGCCTGGCTAATTTTGTATTTTTAGTAGAGACGGAGTTTCTCCGTGTTGGTCAGGCTGGTCTCAAACTCCCGACCTCAGGTGATCCACCCGCCTCGGCCTCCCAAAGTGCATGGGAATCCACAATTATCTCACAAAGTTGAATAACCATCTCTTTTTTTCATCTGTGATCGAAGAAGCAGGCAACATTCTACACTGTTTTAACAAATAAAGCAAACTATGTACCCCTGTTCTGGTGGTAAAATCCTTGGACCATTATAAATGCCATCAGGTTGCAAATGCTTCACTGTGCTAAACACCTGATAACCTTATCTCCCGTAATCCGCTCAACAGCCCTAAGATTAGGAAGACCTTGCTATCATTCCTAGTTCACAGAGGAGCGTCTGAGGCAAAGAGGTGAAGTGATTTGCTGGAGCCACCTGACCAAAGACTGGAACCAAGATTCTAACAGGCACGTGAAGACCTTCTGGTAATAAATTTGTATCATTCTATTTCTGTTCTGTTCAGAGCCCCATAAAAGAAGTTCAGAAGACTGAGGGCTGTCAGTCTTCTGTGACAAAAAGCCTTCATGAGGAGCGAGGACCAGGGCCGGACATGGAACGCCCTCTTAGCGGACGCTCCACTCGGCGGGGGCCGAGAATGGAGACGGTGGGTGCCCAACCCCTTCACCTCCCACAGGCCTCGTGCGGGGGCGGAGCCGAGCGGGAGGAAGCGGGGCGAGGGCGGGGCCGAGCGGGAGAAAGAAGCCGCTGGGCCCGCCCTAACGAGAATTTTCACCGTAATCCCGCCCACATTCTCCCGCGGCCTCCATATCGCACGGCGGTGGAAGTCAAGACGCGCGACCTGAACGGCCAGGTTTTCAGTCAGCCCAGCGTTGGCGAAGGGCGACGGCAGAACACAACCAGCACCCTCGTCCCGCCCCGCTCGGGGCCTAGCTCCTCTACTCACAGCATTGGAGGGAGGGAGGGAGCGAGCCAGAGTCCCCGCGTCTGCCGCTCCCTGGCCTGCCCTTCGCCCTCCGCCGCGCGCGCCCATTGGCCACCGCAGTCTCTCCACGTGGGACGGAGGCGCGCGCTTCATTGGACCCCGCGTGAGGGGCGGGCCTAGAATGCGCGGGTCGCCGGCCGTGGAGGGTCAAGTCGTGGCTTCTGAGGGCTGAGGAAGGGCAGCGGGCGCAGGCGATGGTGCCAGCGCTGCGTTACTTGGTTGGTGCCCGCGGACGGGCCCGCGGGGCTTTATTCGGGAGCTTCCCCTGGGCTTGCGGGCCGGCGTCGGGGAGGCCCCGACCGCTGTGTGGGGGTGGCCGCAGCGCCAGCACCAGGTGAGTGGCTGCTCGTCCTCCCCGCCGCTGGCGCTGCTGCCTCTCGCAGAGGCGAATCGTGCTGGACCTGTGTCCCTCTTCCTACTTCCCTGTCCCGGGGTGAGAGCAGGCTGGGGTCCTGTGGAGCTCCAACCTCGCATCGCAGGAGCTGCCACCCTGCGGGTTCATTCGTTGTATGTACGGGCGGGAGGAAAGGCGGTGTATGGAGTAGTAGAGGTCAGGAGTAGCTCTGGTTTGAAACCCGTCCACTTTCTGTTGAACTCTGGTCTAGTTACTTAACCTCCTTGAAGGCTCAGTTGTGACTGGGACCTTAGTCTCTCCAGTTGGTGCTCGTTTGGAGGATAAAAGGACCTAGCACACAGTATAAGCAATCAAATATAGCTGGCGTCTTTGGGGTTGCTTGGAAGATCTAAATACAGCCTTAGCTCCTGGCAGAGCCCGCATAGAGTTGCCCCTGTCGGAAGCAGCTCGTATGCTAATCAAAGCCCGCAGAATTCAGTGTCCTGTGATGTATAGTTTGGACGTCACATTCGAAACCACTGTCTTTCTCTGCTCTCTGTGGAAGAGACAGTTTGTGTGAAGGATGTAAGGCTTAGAGAGGTTTTGGTTATTTTGAGGACTAGAAGGTGGGCCATAGGTGGTGACTGGAGCTTAGTGGAAGACAGATCGTGTGGAATGACACGGGAGAAGGGCTACATCACAGCAAGGTTTTTATTTTAACCACACGTTGAATTTTATTCTAAGAGCCACGGGAAGCTATTTAAAAGAGTTTTAAGAGGAGGCTAGTGATTAAATGTTGATGTTCTGAAAGTTGATGCTGGCGCTGAGTGTTGGTGGATGGAGGGAGTAGAGTGGGATACCAAAGACAGTTAGTGAACTGGTTGCTAAGGGCTGTAAAGTGATCCTTAAGATTTGAGGAGGGGGAGTGAAGGGTGGCACATGTAGTTGGAAAAAGCACATTCACTATGATAGTTTTATGTTTGAAAGTAAGAGAAATTTATTGATGGTTGTAATATAATCTGCGAAAACAGTATGTTGGCTGGGAATCTGTACCAAGGTAATAATTCTAAGTGGAAGGTCTACCTCCCCAAAAGCTTTTGTGTTGCAATTATCAAAAGGCAGCAAGGGGCGGCTCATGCCTGTAATCATAGCATTTTGGGAGGCCGAGGCGGGTGGGTTACCTGAGGTCAGGAGTTTGAGACCAGCCTGGCCAACATGGTGAGACCTCGTCTCTACTAAAAATACAAAAACTAGCCGGGCATGGTGGTGTGCGCCTGTAATCTCAGCTACTGGGGAGGCTGAGGCAGGAGTATCACTTGAACCCTGGAGGGGGTGGTTGCAGTGAGCCGAGATCATGCCACTGCATTCCAGCCTGGGCAACGAAGGGAGACTCTGTCTTTTTTAAAAAAAAAGAAAAAAGAAAAAAAACCCAAAAGGCAGGATGAGAAACATTATTATGGAAGTTAAGACCACCCCTCTAAGTGAAGGTTTTGCTACCTTTTACAGAAAAGTGAGGCTTGAAGGCAAAGCATAACATCATAGTTGAACTTAAAAGAAAAAAAAAAACAGTATGAAAGATACCTCTCTGTCGTATATGTGCACTGCCACGATTGATGTAGACATCAACTTGATAAATTTAAAAAATTACAGTCGGTTCTCATTTCTGCATCTGCAGATTGAACCAACTATGGATCAAAAATATTTAGAAAAATGATAAAATTTAAAATACAGTGTAACAACTATTCACATAGCATTTACATGGTACTATGTACTGTAAGTAATCCAGAGATGACTTAAAGTATATTGGACAACATGTGTAGATTATATGCAAATACTGTGCCATTTCATATAAAAGACTTGAACATAAGTGGATTTTGGTATCCATGGGAGTCCAAAAACCAATCCCCTGTGGTTATTGAAGGATGACTGTATATAAAATATGATGAAGTCATACACATACAAATGTCTTAAGTATTTGTAAATGTTTTGAACACCTACCTTAGTGGAAGATATAGAGGTTTTGGAAAATAAAAATCCTATCTTAACTAAAATGGTTATTGTGGAATTTTTAAAAGCCAGGATATTTTGGAATCCACAGAAGATCTGTTTATTGTGAAAGCTGTGTAAAGGGTCAATGGCTGTAAATCAGTGTAAGTAACTATAGTGGAATGTGAATGCTTTACGTTTTATCTACTGAACTTATGTTTTTAAAAACCTGTTTAAAGGCTTGGACTTCCAAACACACTCTAATCGTATTAGTAATGTTTTAGTTGACTACTGTAAGCATATGCCAATAACTAGTATTAATGTTGTGGACCCAGAATCCCATTTTACTTGTGCTGCTCTTTTTACATCCTCTCTTTTTAAATGTGTGCATTATTCACCATCCTTGACAACCATTTTATCCAGTCTAAAGCTGCTGCAGGAGAACCACCTGCTGAGCATCACCTAGAGGTTCTCCTTGTTCAAGTTATGAGGCTTATGCACTGACAGAGGGAACTTTATCCACTATGACCCCCAAATTAATTTAAGATGCAGGATTTAATTTGTCAAGCTTATATATGTTCCTAGTTGTCTAGGATCTGTTTCTGCTTCCAGATATAGCCATAGGTGTGGTAACAATTCTAATCAAATTATGTGCTTTGCTAAGGATTTTGAAATTGAAACTTAGATCACTTTTCAAACAAAGGGCCTAATCTCTGAAATTTCCCTCTGTCTACTGTTCCTAAAAGGCTCTTTCTTATTTGTTGACCATCAGGTCAGTGTTAAAGGTAATCTTTTAAGCTTCTAATTGCAGAGTTATATAAATTATACATGCTTGTTCTACATTTTGTAAATGGTTGTATACGCAGGGTTTGCCAAGGCAAAGATTGTGTGGTTCCTAAGCCCATTTCTAGACCAATTATTGCCCCAAGGTTTATGTTCTCAGAGTTGTTTCCTTCTCAAAGAAAAACATGTAAAAATTATTGCACACTAAAGTGTTAAAACTTTAACGTGTTAACACATTGTCAAGAATACTACATTGGAATTTTACAAGAATAGGTAGTAGAAGCATAATTATGCTTAACACAAAGTATAGTCACGAGCTGTATAACATTTTGGTCAACTGCAGACTGCATGTACAGTGATGGTCCCAAAGATTACCATATTTTTATCTGTACCTTTTTTATATTTAGACATTTTTAGATGCACAGATACTTACCATTGTGTTACAGTTGCCTGCAGTATTCAATATAGTAATCTGCTGTACAGGTTTGTAGTCAACGAGCAATAGGCTATACCATATAGCCTAGGTGTGCAGTAAGCTATGTCATCTAGGTTTGTTTAAGTGCATTTTATGATGTTTGCACAATGGAATCACCTAGCAATGCATTTCCTAGAACCTATCCCTGTGGTTAAGCAATGCATGACTGCAATCACTTATGTAACTAGCCTGGCTGCCATGTTATGGAGATATAGAACAGATTGGGCAACCAGTTATCTTAACTGCCAGTAAGCTGTAGCTGATTTTGCTACTGCCCAGAGATGCATATAACTAACTTTTAAGGTTTTTTGATGCATATAACTTTTTTTTTTTTTTTTTTTGAGTTGGAGTTTCGTTCTTGTTGCCCAGGCTGGAGTGCAATGGCGTGATCTTGGCTCACTGCAACCTCCGCCTCTGCGGTTCAAACGATTCTCCTGCCTCAGCCCCCTGAGTAGCTGGGATTCCAGGCATGTACCAACATGCCCAGCTAATTTTGTATTTGTAGAGACGGGATTTCTCCATGTTGGTCAGGCTGGTCTTGAACTCCAAACCTCAGGTGATCTGCCTGCTTTGGCCTCCCAAAGTGCTAGGATTACAGGCATGAGCCACCATGCCCAGACTTTTTTATTTTTGAGACAGGATCTGGCTCTGTCTCCCAGGCTGGAGTGCAGTGGCATGACCTCGGCTCATTGCAACCTCTGCCTCCCAGGTTCAAGCGATTCCCCAGCTTCAGCCTCCTGAGTAATTTGGGATTACAGGTACCCACCACAACATCCAGCTAATTTTTGTACTTTATGTAGAGATGGGGTTTTACCATGTTAGCCAGGCTGGTCTTGAACTCCTAACCTCAAGTGATCCACCAGCCTTGGCCCCCCAAAGTGCTGGGATTACAGGCATGAGCCATCATGCCCAGACTTGATTCATATAACTTTTAAGGTTTTTTTTTTTTTTTTTTCTTTATACATGTGAAACCAAATAGCACATGGCCAATACATTTTAATGATTATAAATTAATAATTGTCCATTGATGATGAAAATTATGCATGTGAAGTTTGATGAGGTGTACTGTAAACATGTATTACTTTAAAGATGACTTTCTCTTGAAGCTCATTTGATATAGTCATTGTTGGTGGCGGAATTGTGGGGCTTGCCTCTGCCAGAGCACTCATCCTGCGACATCCATCACTTTCTATTGGTGTTCTGGAAAAGGAGAAAGATTTAGGTATGTATATAATCAGTGTTGTTCTTAGAGCTTACTTGGGCATCTGTTCATTATGTCTGTTCTGAATCTTTCATGTTGAATGTCAATGTTAGTATCTTAGTTTGTGTTCTGAAAGCAGAGTGTGGGACAAGGACGTGGCTATAGGTTATTTGAGAGGTTAAAGCAGAATGTGGGACAAGGACATAGCTATATGTTATTTAAGAGGTTATCTGAGGAAACAGAAGTGAGGGGTTGAGGAAAGTAAGACAGGGAAGGAGGAAAAGTTGTGAGAACACATCATCAAGATTGCTGCTGTGAGCTGGATTCCACTGGAACCCCTGAGGAGCAATGTAATGTTTCCCAGGATTGTGCCCATTTATCCATCAGCTCCTGTCCCTGTTGGTTGAGGATTGCCACTAGTGATGTTGAGCACCCTGTGCCCTTCTCTAAAAAAGTTACCAGAGGCCCTAAGGCAGAGTCCAAAGAGCCCCAATGGGCCCCTAAGTGGTTTGCTGATTATGGAAGGTGAGTTTGTGCACCAGAGTTGTAGTTGAAATCAGAGGTGGGCTGGAGCAATGTGACCTGGATACCAGGGATGCTGTTAGAAGAAGTTACCAGTGATCTGAACAAATTCAGGCAGAATTTTACTAATAGCTTCAACTATAATGTTTGTTCTCTTCTTATGTTTTGTATGAATCATGTACATACTCTTACCCTGTTTCTCTTGTCCTGTAGCTGTTCACCAGACTGGACATAACAGTGGTGTCATACATAGTGGAATTTATTATAAACCTGAATCTCTGAAAGCCAAATTATGTGTACAAGGTGCAGCCCTCCTCTATGAATACTGCCAGCAAAAGGGAATTTCCTACAAGCAATGTGGCAAGGTATGGCATTTTACTAGGGCCTTGACTGATTTCCAACTAGCATTTTCTTGGTGATGTTTAATATATTTTTTTAAAATTTGGTGTTTTGTTTCTTTGTATCTATGTAATTTTTGAAGTCTAATACTGGGGAATAACTAAAAAAAGATGATGTGACTTTATGTAATTTTCTAAATAAAAGTTTTATTGACATATAATGTATGCACCGTACAATTCACTCTTTTAAAGTACACAGATCAGTTTTTAGTATATTCACAGAGCTGAGCAATCATCATCTAATTAATTTAGACTTTTTCATCACCCCAAAAAGAAATCCCATACCCATTAGCAGTCACTCCCCATTTCCACCTCCCCTGATGCCCTAGCAACCAGTAATATACTTTCTGTCTTTGTGGATTTGCCTGTTCTACACTTTTCATATAAATAGATTCATATACTATGTGGTCTTTTGTGACTGGCTTTTTTAACCTAGTGTAATGTTATCAAAGTTCATTCATGTTGTAGCATGAATCAGTACTTCATTCCTTTTATGGCTGAACAATATTCTGTTGTATGGATACACACCACACTTTGTTTATTTGTTCATCAGTTGATAGATCTATGGATTGTTTCCACCTTTTGGCTATTATGAATAATGCTGCTATGAACATTCATGTACAAGTTTTTGTGTGAATATTTGTTTTCGTTTATATTGGGCATGTACTTGGGAGTGGAATTGCTGAGTTGTCATGGTAACTCCATGTTTAACATTTTGAGGAACTGCCAAACTGTTTTCCAAAGCTCTGTACTATTTTACATTCTCACCAGTAATCAGGATTCCAATTTTTCCATGTCCTTGCCAACATATATTTTTACTGCGTCTTTTTTATTGTAGCCATCCTGGTGGAAGTTTTAATTTGCAGTTCTCTAATGATATGATGTTGAGTGTCTTTTATTTTTTCCATTTTAGAAAATACTTCTCTATTTTCTAAATATTAGCCAGGTACTGTGGCTCATGCCTTTAATCCCAGCACTTTGGAAGGCCAAGACAAGAGGATCACTTGAGCCCAAGAGTTAAAGACCGGGTCAGGTAACATAGTGAGACCCCATCTCTACAAAAAATTTAAAAAGCCGGGTGTGGTGGTGCACACCTGCAGTCCTAGCTACTTGGGAGGCTGAGGTGGGAGGATTGCTTCAGCCTGGGAGGTTGAGGCTTCAATGATCCATGATCGTGCCACTGCATTCCAGCCTGGGTGGCAGAGGGAGACCTTGTCTCAAAAAAATAAAATTAAAAATTAAAAAATTAAAATTATTATTTTTTAACCTTATTTCTTATTTAAAAGTTGAGACAGGATCTTGCTTTGTAGCCTAGGCTGGTCTCAAACTCCTGGCTTCAAGCAGTCCTCCTGCCTTGGCCTCCTAAAGTGCTGGGATTACAGGTGTTAGCCACTGTGTCCAGCCTAAAATTATTTTTTAATTGACACAAAGTTTATATATTTATCACGCACAATATGTTGTTTTGAAGTATGTGTACATTGTGGTTTGGGCACAACGGCTCATACCTGCCTGTAATCCCGACACTTTGGGAGGCTGAGGTGGGCAGATCACTTGAGATCTAGAGTTTGAGTCCAGCCTGGCCAACATGGTGAAACTCTGTCTCCACTAAAAATCCAAAAATTAGTTGGGTGTGGTAGTACATGCCTGTAATGAGAATTGCTTGATCCTGGGAGGCAGAGGTTGCTGTGAGCTGAGACTGCACCACTGAAGTCCAGCCTGGGTGACAGAGTGAGACTCTGTCTCCAGAAGTATGTGTACATTGTGGATTGGCTAAATCAAGCTAACACATGTATTACCTTTCATACATTTTTTTTTATGATGCAGACCCTTAACTCTCTGAGCAGTCTTCAAGAATATAATATGTTATTAACTATAGTCAACATTTTGCGTAATAAATATCCTGAACTTATTCCTCTTACTTAACTGAAATTTTGTGTCCTTTAACAAATATCTTTCCATACCACCCCCACCTCCCTGGCGCCCCCAACCCCTGGCAACCACCATTCTTCTCTCTTCCTCTTTTGAATTCACCTTTTTGAGATTCTACATATAAACGAGATCATGTAGTATTTATCTTTCTGTGCTTGATTTCACCTAAGATAATGTTCTTCAGGTTCATCTCTGTTGTCATTTGTGGCATGGATCATTTGTGACAATATAGATGAACCTGGAGGATGTTTCTCCTTATCTTAAAGATTTCCTCCTTTTTTAAAGGCTGAGTGGTATTTTGTGGTGTATATGTACACATTTTCTTTTTCCGTTCATCCATCAAGGGACACTTAGGTTGATTCCATATCTTGGCTCTTGTGATTAATGCCTCAGTAAACATAGGAATTCATGTATATTTTTGACGTACTGATTTTATTTTCTTTGGATATATACCCACCAGTAGGATTGCTGGATCAGTGTTGAGCATATTTTTATGTGCTTTTTGGCCATTCATGTAGCTGCTTTGAATAAATGTCTATTCAAATCTTTACCCATTTAAAAATTGGGCTATTTGTCTTATTATTGATTTATACATCTTCTTTACATATTCTTGATACAGCACATCAGCTATGTGATCCGGAATATTTCATACTATTCCGCAGGCTTTCTTTTTTACTTTCTTAATGGTGTCCTTCGAAGCATTAAAGTTTTAAATTTTGATGAAGTCAAATTTATCTTTTTTTCTTTTGTTGTTTGTGCTTTTAATCTAAGAAACAATGCCTAACACTAGATTATAAGGATTTTCTCCTATGTTTTCTTTTAAGAGTTTTGCAGCCTAAGCTTCTGCATTTAGATCTATGATCACCTTTTTGTTGTTGTTTTGTTTTGAGTTAGGTTCTCACTCTTTTAGCCAGGCTGGAGTGCAGTGGTGCAATCTCAGCCCACTGCAGCTTCCTCCTCCTCCTCCTCCCAGGCTCAAGTGATCCTCCCACCTAAGCCTCCTGAGTAGCTGGGAGCTCAGGCATGTACCCCCATGCCTGGCTAATTTTTGTAGAAATAGGGCTTCACCATGTTGCCCAGGCTGCTCTTGAATACCTAAGGTCAAGGAGTCCACCCAAAGTGGTGGGATTACAGGCAGTTTTTTCGAGGATTTTTATCATGTAGAGAAGAATGTTGAGTTTTATCAAATACTTTTTCAGCATCAATTGAAATGATCATATGGGTTTTTTTTGTTGTCGTTTGTTTGGCATTTTTTGTTCATTTTTTGAGACAGAGTCTCAAAAGCTACCTTGGCCACACCCAGGGTGGTGTGCACTGGTGTGATCTTGGCTCACTGCAACCTCTGCCTCCCAGGTTCAAGAAATTTTCCTGCCTCAGTCTTCTGAGTAGCTGGGATTACAGGCATCTGCCGCCACACCTGGCTAATTTTTGTATTTTCAGTAGAGATGGAGTTTCACTATGTTGTCCAGGCTGGTCTCGAGTTACTGGCCTCAGGTTGTCTGCCCAAATTGGCCTCCCAAAGTTTTGAGATTACAGATGTGAGTCACCATGCCTGGCCTGATGATATATTTTTTGTCCTTCATTCTGTTGATATGATGTGTCACATTGATTTATTTACATATGTTGAACCATCCTGGCATCCCTGGGTTAAATTCCGCTTGATCACGATGAATCATCTTTTTAATGTGTTGTTGAATTTGGTTTGCTAGTATTTGGTTAAGGATTTTTGTATCAGTATTCATCAGGGATATTGGACTATAGTTTTCATTTTTTTGAGCTGTCTTTGTCTGGTTTGGGTATCAGGGTAATACCAGTCTCATGGAATGTGTTTGGAATTATTTCCTCCTCCTCTATTTACTGGAATGGTTTGAGTAGGGTTTGGTATTAGTTCTTCTTTAAATGTTTGGTAAAATTTAGCAGGGAAGCCATCAGGTCCTGGGCTTTTCTTTATGGGGAGACTTTTTATTATGGCTTTGATCTGATTGCTTGTTATTGGTTTGTTCAGGTTTTGGATTTCTTCATGGTTCAATCTTGGTAGGTTGTACATGTCCAGGAATTTATTCATTTCTTCTAAGTTTTCTAATTTATTGGCGTATATAGTTTGTCGTAGTAGCCTTTAATAATTTTTTGAGTTACTGTGGTGTTGGTTGTAATGTCTCCTTTTTCATCTCTGATTTTATTTATCATGTCTCTTTTTTTCTTAGTCTGGTTAAAGGTTTGTATCTTTTCAGAAAAGCAACCTTTTATTACATTAATCTTTTGTATTTGTTTCAATTTCATTTATTTCTGCTCTTTATTTTTTATTTCTGCTCTTCTAATTTTGAGTTTGGTATGCTCTTGCTTTTCTAGTTCTTGAAGGTATATTGTTAGATTATTTGAAGTTCTTCACTTTTTTGATGCAGGTGCTTAGAGCTATAAACTTTGCTCTTACTACTGCTTTTGCTGTTTCCCATAGATTTTGATATGTTGTGTTTCTGTTTTTACTTGTTTCAACAGATTTTTTAATTTCCTTCTTAATTTTTTCATTGAACCACTGGTCATTTAGGAGCATATTGGTTTTGTTTGCTTGTTTGTTTATTTTTTGAGACACAGTCTCACTCTGTCACCCAGGCTGGAATATAGTGACACTATCACAGCTCACTGCAGCCTTGACCTCCTAGGCTCAACTAGTCCTCCCACCTCAACCTCTGGAGTAAAGGGGATCACAGATGCACCACCATGCCTAATTTTTTTTTTTTTTTTTGAGACGGAGTCTTGTTGTCATGCAGCCTGGAGTGCAGTGGTGCCATCTCAGCTCACTGCAACCTCCGCCTTCTGGGTTCAAGCAGTCTCCAGCCTCAGCCTCCTGAGTAACTGGGACTACAGGCACGTGCCGCCATGCCTGGCTGATTTTTGTATTTTTAGTAGAGATGGGGGTTTCACCATGTTGGCCAGGCTGGTCTCGAACTCCTGACCTTAAGTGATGAACCCATCTCAGCCTGCGATTACAGGCGTGAGCCATCATGCCCATTCCTGAATTTTTTTTTTTTTTTTTCCCTCTAGTTAGGGTCTCTCTGTGTTGCTCAAACTGGTCTCAAACTCCTGGGCTCAAGTGATCCTCTCACCTTGGCCTCCCAAAGTGTTGAGATTACAGGTGTGAGCCACTGCGCCTGGCCAGCAGCATATTGTTTAATTTCTGTATGACTGTATAGTTCCCAAAATTTCTTTTATTATTTTTAGGTTTATTCCATTGTGGATATTGATATAATTTTATTTTATTTTTTTGAATTTTTAAAGACCTGTTTTGTGGCCTGATGTATGGTCTGTCCTTGAGAATGATTCCTGTGCTGGGGAGAAGAATGTATATTCTGTGGCTGTTGGATGAAACGCTCTGTAAATATCTATTAGGTCCATTTGGTCTGTGGTGCTTGGTAGTTTATTCTTTGTGATGCTTTTGTGAGGAGAATTGTTTGACCTTTGTGAACTCATTTTGTTCTAATTGTGTGTGTGTGTGTGTGTGTGTGTGTGTGTGTGTGTGTGTGTGTCTGTGAATTCCTTAGGCTTTACTATATGCAGGATCATGTCATCTGCAAATAAGTTAATGTTACTTCTTTTCCAATTTAGATGTGTTTTACTTAATTATCCTGCTTGACTTCTACGGGTTGAAGCTCCAATACTGTGTTGAACAGAAGTAGTAAAAGTGGACCTTCTTGAATTGTTCTTGATCTAATGGAGAAAACATTTAATCTTTTGCCGTTAAGTATGATGTTCACTGTGGATTCTCTTGATTGGATTAAGGAACTTCCTTTCTATTTCTAGTTTTTTGAGTGTTCTCTGTCATGAAAAGGTGTTGAATTTTCTCAGATGCCTTTTTTGTTTCTATTGAGGTGATCATTTGGTTTTTATCCTTAATTCTATTAATGTAGTGTATTAATACATTTTTGGATATTAAATTGACTGCATTCCTGTGATAAATCCTACTTGGTCATGGGGTATAATCCTCTTTATATGTTGCTGCATTCAGTTTAGTAATATTTTGTTCAGGGTTTTGTATTAATATTTATAAGGGATATTGGTCTGCAGTTTCTTTAGATGTCTGGTTTTGGTAAGAGGCAAAAGATTTTATTATTCTTAAGAGAAACCAGAACATTGGTTTTAGTATCAAACTAATATTGGATTCACAGAATTAGTTGGGGAGTGATTCTTACTCTTCTGTTTTTTTGGAAGAGTT